GTACATTTACGCGAGCACACAGAGCCGTCTCTGGGTTTCGTGCTATCAAAACGGTGTGCTGTCGTATATATTACTATAATATAATATTATTATAATGTATACACGCGCATAAGCTAACTAAATTCAGACGACGAGATGAGTAGTTCCTCGGCGGCGGCGTGTTTATGCACAGCGTGCTCTCGAAACGATGCGCATAATAATATCAGAACGATAATATAAATTGGCGGTGTGCGAGAGAGTGGTTTTAAGTGTTTCACGCCCGCTCCGTGGTATAAACCGCGAGGCGTTCGTGATTTTCAAAAAACACTGAAAACGCAATACGTACGCGAAACGGATATAAAAAGAATATAAGTAATACCTACGTGTATACAGGTAGGTCCCACCACATACCATGTGTAGGTTTAATTATAATTAGATAGCCGACTCCGTGGCTTAATAATATATAGGTACGACGTATATAATTATTACGTATGGGCGCCATTCGTCACTTGGACAACGTTTATAAATTCTTAAGATTTTTACACTGTCCTGATCACATATTATATATAGTAAATATAATTTAATAGCCGTTAACTATTAGCTGATAATAATATGAACAGCTGGCGACGATCGTATTAGTACAATAATATTGTCATGGGTATTTAAAGAAAATTAATTAATTTAAGCATTAAACTATACCTGTTTGTTAGGTATGATTATATTATTCTATTAACTGTCAGTATCAGACCTTTTACTTACGTTTTAATGTTCGTATATGAATATTATTCTGTCGGAATATGACCTATGAGTTTAATACTACTTGTACAGTTGTTCCTATGATATAAAAACGACGAAGTCCCTTTATTTAATATTTTGCTCAAGTTGTGTGTAGGGATGTCACTCGATTGCGGCCGAAGTGATTTTTTTTCTTAATCGACTTCTGATTGAGGCCCGTTCAAAGTTGGTAAAAAATACATTGTTTTCGGTGGCTAATAAAACTAAATAAATTTCCCGATTATCTGACGCATATTTTGATACAAAATATTTAGGTACAATTTACACAAGCTAACAATATTCGGTGAAAATATTCTAATAATTTACAGTATTCGTGGGAAATTCAATTCATTATTAAATTTTGAAATTTAAAAACAATGCCAAACATGCCTAACCATTAACACATTTCTATATTTTTAATTTGTTCCGTAAAAAATGCATTAGTAAACTTTCGAAAATTATACTATTATAAGTTAACTGTTACTTATTTTCCAGCATTGACTAATGCTGCAGCGAAACCCAACCGATATTTCTTTTAAGTTTTATGCTTCAACTAAATGTACATTAAAGAAACCAATATTACATTACACAAACCACCTGACGTTATGCAGTATGCAGAAAACCGCATGCGTTTTTGTTGGGTCGACACAATATTGCAATGCAATTATAACGACCACAAGTATGTCATCGTTTATATAGATAAGACGCCGCAAGTCTGTCGTTACCATACCGATTATACCGACATAGGTATACCGATTGAGCAACAGAGTAAAAATAATTACCAACCTCGTGGAAATATTCTACCGATGTCGTAAACAATTTCAGGTCACCATCGGTATCGATTATAGTATAATATCTAATATACATACTACATACCTATTATAATATAAGAATTCGTTTGAAATTCAATATTGATAATCGCCTACAACATATTGTCAATAAACGTTTTAACACCTCATAACTGCCGACACGAAATTCATACGTCATTTAGTTATGTAGTTACAACTCATATAATATATATAGCTACCTACCCAAGTACCCGATTTAATAAAACGATTGACATTCTAGAAAAAAGCATTATTTGAAGAAAACAGCAAATTGTGGTATAGAAGACTTAATAATTATTGCTTTTAAACTTTTAAAGAGTCTCGAAAATATGGTTAGGTTTGTAATTACATTTCATTTTTATGCATTATTTATTAAGTAGAAACGTTAATTATTATATGAAAACACTAATTGGTTGTAAACAAATGAGTTTCATTAATTGTATACATTCATACAATATTATCTCGTATGGCTACAAATTTGTATTTTGTTATGCGTCATCATAATAATATATATAAAAAAAAAAATGTTTTTATTGGACTTGTCCGTCGTTTTACATTTTTTGTTAAATACTCCCTAAGGACTGTCCAGCGCATATTCATTGAAAAAAAAACCGTTTAGTCAATGGGAAAAACCGGAAAAGGCTGATTTTTCACTCTTAAATAGTTATTGAGTATAATACTTAGGTATTATAATTTGATATTTATAAACTCACATATACCTCGTTATTGTGATACAATCATTGATCACACAGAAATACCCGACACTGAACGATATAGAAAAATTTTTTGGAACATTTCGTTCGTATAGTAATAATTTAATATAAAGTAAATAAAATAATTTGATTTTTCTTATAGGTATTAGGAATATGTAATAGAATATTGTTCAAATTGTTTTTCTGTTCATTATAGACCCTAGCGCCACATTTATAATATGCTGTTGGGTATTGTGCATTCATCGAGCTCCTCTTATATTGTACACTTATGACATTCTGTTACTATACTGTGTTTAGCCGTTAGTGTTACCTCTCAGATTTTTCATATAGGTGGATCTTCTTTTGATATATTATAGAAAATCGTGTGTTATTTTCGTGTGTCCGAGATTTTATACTTTATAAGCTTACGGCCCATAGTCTAGGAATTATTTTTTCTGTTATTTTTATTCAAGGTTCTACCTCAATCGTGTATTGTGTTTTTGATTTCCCTTGGTTTAGATTTATTCCGATGCCAGTCAGTCTGTTCACCATTTCATTTTCACAATGTCTTGAATTTGATTTTATGTTCAAACAAGTATTATCTTGACCAGAGAAGGAGTGGCGGTGCTGTTACGATGATGCCCATTTGGCTTCTCGCCGGTCCCCTAAATAATAATATTATCATTGCTATTATTATTATTATTAATATTTTTATTATTATTATACACGCGTACGAGGTAAAATCGTTACCTATTGCATTGTATAATTTAATAGTATTATATTGTACGCGTTTCTATATATTATTATTATAACAGCGTGCAGCTGTGTATAGTTGTATAGTAAACAGGTAAACTACACGAGCAGCGCACTGTACCAGCCATGTTACAATAATAATAATAACGATACGTATTCTTGCACAGTTTTCGCCGATTCGGTTGTGTGTGTGAGTAAAATAAATCATAGCCGCGACAACGGGCGGCCGTTAAAAACTCAGCAACGACTCTCCAGAGGGCTATTGGACGCGAACGGAACCGCCGCCGCCGCCGCCGTCTCCGAGTGTTTTACTATTTTTCGTATACTAGCCTGGAAAATATTGCGCGATAATGGCGATGAAATAAATTACTCGACGTCGTGCACACGATGTATTAGTTCTACATGTACTTGTGTATATACACACCTATAGGGTATGTGTAAGAGGAAAAAAAAAACAGAAACCGTATATAATATACCTTTGTTGTAACGCGTGTTTGTACGACTTGTAGTGCGCATAGGCATAAACGTCGTCGCTTATTGTTGACAACGACCTGCAGGCTCGGATTTTCTAGCCCTCCATGATACCGTTTTGTAAATATCAAATGAATGTGCCACGATGACGTAGTATACATTGTGCGTGCTCATGGAGTGAATTATTATGCCAATTTATTTCTACCCATCGGCTGCACTGAACAATGATTATTTTAAATAAATAATAATGAAACACATTCTGAATTAAAACGATATAGATTGATTAGAAGGAATAGATTTCAGAATAGAATCGGAATAGATCCACAATTTTATTTATGGATGTGAAAAATGTAATGCATTGGAGTTCAAGAACGACTTGTATAGTTCGTGGCAAGTATATAAGCGTCGCTTTTTGACAACGAGAAGGTTTGGGTTTTCCAGCACTCCAATACCGTTTTGAAAATATCAAATAAATGCTCAGCTATGGTGTTGTACATATTGCGTGTATGTAGAGTGAAGTGTATATAATGTGAATTTATCCAAACGATTACTTTAAAATCGAAAATTTTATTTAAAATATAATGTGATGACTATATTATTATATTTACCGAAACGACGGGAGTGCTATATATTTTCTCGAATGATTTAAAATCGTTTTATGTTCGTCACTTGTCACTTAGTTATTCATATACACTTGACATATTATGAAAAAAAAACATTTTAAAAACGAACAGTGATTTTTTCTTATAAGTTGAGGTTTATTTTTGAGAATATTTTCCTGATGAATATTTATTATTGAATTTGCACAACTCGCTCTGCCATACAGTCTTTCTAGAATTTTTCAGTTATTCAGTAATTATTTTATTTTTGTATCTGAAGACACATTATTTGAGTATAGAAAATTTCTCTGAACATCATCGAGGTTACTATTTTTTTTTAATAGTAAGAATTTGGATCTAGTTTGTACTTGCAGCAATTTAAAAATATTAATGTAAATGTGAAAATTTTTAATATTGTCATTTTAAAAAAAAATCTGGGTTTCAAATGTTTGCATAAATAATTCACAATCTTGAATCCAAATTTAACAATAATTCATTACAGTGACCTACTCAGTGGTGTTGTATATTCGAAATCGAATAGTATACAGTATACGTACATCAAAGTGGACTAGATTAATTCCTCGTCCGCTTTTTATAATAATATTACTATCGGTGGAGGGTTGCGTGCATATCGAGAAGTTTATTAACACGATATTATAAAACAATATATTGTACGTAGGTATCTGAGTATAATAACAGTTTACTCGTATATAATATTTATGTACGCAGATAGGTACCCATAACGACGAGACCACATTATACATACCGACGACCAGTATTTGGCGAAGAATAATAATTTTCACAGACACGGAAATTTTCCGGAATCGATAAAGTCATTTTTTAACCGAACCCTCCGCAGTTAATACACTCGTGACTTGCCGTATCTCAAAAAGAAAAACCTCATCATGTCGTCTGAATTTTGCGGGCCATGCAAGGAAACAGAGTGCATGGATGTGACGGATTGCGAGGCGGCCGCTCTCAAGGCGCTCTACCAGCGGATGGCTGACGAGCGGCCGTCCTTGGACTGCGACCCACCACGGAAGCCCACGGTGGAAGAGGCCATGGCGACGAAGGAAGCGGCGGAAGCGGCGTGCGACCGGGCGCCGGGAGTGTCGCCGTTGAAATACTTCGACAAGCAGATGATGGCCACTCTGGACTCCAAGATGGTGACCACCTCGGACGCCGGCACCAACGACAAGGCCACCGTGCCGGATCCCATACTGTTCGCCAAGTGCAAGGCCATTCCGGCAGGCACGATCAACGCTGTGCTGTACGGCATGGACGTGGAGCGGGCAGTGACGGGTCGGTCGGCCGAGCGGGACGGTCTGCAGGACGCGGCCGAGTGGCTGCTGATGGCCGAGGCGGCGTGCAAGCATAGCGGCGCGGTGCACGCTGCCCAGGTGGCGGCCCAGGTGCAGCCAGAGCCCAAGTACGCCGAGGACGCGGCCCGGATCGGCGCCAAGGCGTACACGGCGGCAGCGCGGGGAGACAGGCCCGGCGGGTCCACGTCTGAGACTCCAGTCGAGGTGGTCGGCTACGTCGGGTGCACCAGACCACCGGACAGCACCCCCAAGAGGAACGCCTGCTGAACGTTATGCGACCACCACGTCAACGATATGTACAAAACTGCTTTTATACTATTAAAATCTGTTGTGGCATTTTATTATAAATTTATTTATTCTATTTTTTTTTTCATTGAGCTTAACTCCGGCAACCATGGCCATTAGCTGTTTTTGTTTGTAGGTTGGAGGAACGTTTGGGTGAAACACGTTTTTATGTGTGGCAAGGATTTGTTGCTAAAAATCTCTGGTGGTCACCCATCCGGGAGCTATCAGAGCGTTTCCACAGTTGAGTGTACGGACCTCGCCACACCACTTAACCTAACCTATCCTAACGCCACTTATTCATTCTATTGTCATTAATAATAGCTTTTGAAAATTATAACTTATAAGGCTATAATATTATACCTACTCCGTGTCACATCTGTGCTGCTGCGGCCATTTCGCCGACAGGTATAAATTAATGTACTGATTAAAAGTTTTCAAACGGACGTTTCCGTTTTGTTTTTTGTTTTTACAACGTTATAATATTTTGTTCTATACTTAATTTATTTATTATAATATGTATAAGTCGTTATGTTCACATCGAGTCTTTTGAACTTTCTTATAGCTTAAACTTCCATTCGAGTTTTAGATATTCTCAATAGTCTTCGTAAAGACCATATTATCTGCAAGGTCAATGCGATTTTCCTAAGCACATCGTAGGTAATGAATAATTCGAAAAAAATAATATTGTTATGCTTACTTATAAAATATTATTGATAGATTTTTATAAGGATTATTACTGCGCATAAAGGTCTTCCGCTACCGTAGCCCGTAGGTATATGCCACGCCGTGTATAACAAAAACAAACGCTCTTCGCGTAGTACCAATATTAGGTTTTTTTTTTTAAGGATTTTTGACGTCATACCATTGTTTGAACGGAGTAGCAGAGTGTGAGTGAGAAAGAGAGGTATACCTCTTTGACGTCACACCGGTGTATAGTGTTTTTTGTTGTTATTTTCCAGGATTAAAATAAAATTGTATTGTTTTCATGAAAAATGAGACCTGTCAAATCGATTCTTTTGCAGATTTCAAGACTATGACATGTGTGCGTAGCCAGAGATTTTGGTGCAGGTTACGTCCTGGACGCTGACTATGATATTATATAGTTAGATATAGTGTTCCAATCGTTGCATTGAACACGTTAATTACACAGTACTTACCTATATAAAAAAAAAAAACTGTCCCGATGTAATTATTTTTGTAGTCGGATCCTTGAAGCGTATCGTTGCATAACGTTTGATGAGAAACAAAACCGGCGTCTCAATTTTGTAAACAATTCATGTGACGTTTGAATGTGGTAAAAAAAAAATGATTATTATCATAAATATAAAACGGAAAGGCAAATAACTAGGTGAACAATGTAACTGCAAAATTAAACGTGTGTACGATCGTTCCGTCCGAGTGTGTGTGTGTGTGAAACAAAATGTGCATTTCTCGATTACATATTAAACGTACCTACTACCTAATTGCGTATTTTATTGTTGTATACAGAGTGAATACGAAAATACGTACCCATACTCGTTGGAATTAAATCAAACACGGTAGATAGTCATACACTGTTCAGCGAAGCTGGTTACTAAACGTTATCAAAATTTTCTTTTCACGTTTTTTTACAACTATCGACTTTCACGTTATCCATATTTAGAGGCATTCGACGTTGGCTTCGTCGCCGTCGTCGTCGATGTTTGAACCCTTCAATGGATATTTTGTGCGTATTTGTTAACAAACTGTACACTTTAAAACTAATTACACGAATAAAAGAATTCGTATACGATTTACGATATAGTTGCTATATTTGGTAGGTATAACTGTCTAATAATATTTTCATTATGCAAAACAGCAAACGTTTTCGTTGTGTATTGAACCTATTAAAATATTTGATTGCAAAACGAAAACTATAATAATTAAAAAACAGATTAGAGCTGTGATATTATTAGAATATTTTGTTTAAGAGCATTTTGTAAAGCTCAGGTTTGCGCATAATGGTAATTTAAATTTCATATTCATCCATAACGATCAAACACACACACACACACACACACACACACACTCAACATCATATCAGTCCCTAAACATGCTGCACGCTGATTTCTAATTCAATAAAGCCCACGTTTCCCCGGGAATAATATTCCGAATTATTTACTTACCTATATGTTCCGTATAAATTATTATCGATTGTGTGGCGTATATATATATATGTATATTATTCAATGACGGCATCGTATTACACTACAACTATTACTAAAGGGTAACGATAACGCGCGTGGTCGGGATTTAAGTATCATTACCTACGGTTTACACGAGTCTACATACTGCTGCAATATATACGCTGCAACGACGATAATATATTATAGACTCTAGCACAAATTTTGTTTGTTTGTGTGTGTGTGTACTCCCGTCGTCGTCGACGGTGTGACAATTTAATAATTATTATCATCGTGGGGGAAAACGCAATAATAACAATAATTTCCAATTTACCATTCAAGTATACAATAATAATATTACACCTCTGGTTTTCCACGGCAGCACTAAACAATGATAATAAATTCACCGCGTCATTACACATTACGGGATTTAGGTACCGACGTTTATAATGGACGAGTAGAGAGAAAAAAAACCAAAAACACACGAATCGCGTACACCGTGTAATCATGATGGCATTATATTTTATAGGATGCTAAATACTATATACTATACACATAACAAGGTGATCCTTTTGTGGTGCTTACACCGCCATTAGGTATTTCGAAAAGGTTTAATCTTTTAGAAAACATTATTTTTACATAATTTCACGTAATTGCAAACAACATTTTGAAATATAATTATGTGTATATCACAATTTGTATCGTCATCATTTTTTATGTTTAATTTTTACTTTGTCATCACTCCTGTAGAATATATTTAAAAACAAAGTAAAAGTTTTCGAAAATAATGAGGAAAACACTTAGTGGTTAGTATTAATACTAGTATAGACACCCGATGTTAAGATCGATGGAATTATTTGCAAAAACAATATTTGCTACTTAAAAAGTAACGTCGTTTAATAGATCATTCGACATTCTTATTGTATAGGGCAGTGTGTAGAATAGTATATGCGTTTGTACCTACCTATTAAAGTCCATGACTAATAGCAATTGTACTTTGTATGTCCTGTTGGTCACATCACAATCGTTTTATATAGTAATTATACATATTGCGTTATTAGTTTTATTAAATTTTAAAATCTTCGATTTGACTCTATGTAGGCGCCTAAACCTGTCATAAATCCCAAATCCCAAACAGATAATTTATGGATAGACAGTAACTAATAATTGAAAACTAAATTTTAGTAATCCACGGGAGGTTATATAACGATTATTATAATATGTTCGGACGTGAAAATTAAATTTACCAAATGCCTTTGATTTTATACCTCTCCCATTTATGGTTTTAACTATGTGCATTTATATATATATATATGCTTGAGTGTGTGGTGTGTAGATATTGATGGTGTTTTTAAATTATTCATAATACCTTTAAGTAGGTACGAGGTATCAATGTATGATATTCTCATTAATTTATTGTGATTGCGCAACATTTACATAACTATCGAGTATTAAATGAAACGCATACCTTGTAGTTTTCACTACATATATAATGCCGTTTTGGACACTTTATCACTAATATAATACAACATTGTTTTGTTTTTTTTTCGTCAATTATTTTGGGTAAGTACAACCGTAAACATAATATTCAAAACACACTCCTCAAGAAACTTCCATTATTTTTAAGTGTAGAATATTATTATAAAACCAAGTACTTGTACCACTCGTATAATATGCAGGTTGGTACGTCTTTACCTTGGAAACACTTTCGTTTAATATCACCAACGGTTTTAAAAACTGTCATTAAAATAATTATAATGATAATTATGGCACTGAAGAGGATTTGTTAACATATAATATTGTAATATATGTATAGGTTTTTTAAAAAGAATTCATAATATTATTTCTATTACCCAAATAACATGCATAATTTATGAATGATGAATCTAATAAAGAATAAAGTTTAAAACATTTTTAGTTTCAATATATATATATACATATATGTTATGTGGTAAAACTCGATTCAACAGTATAATATTCGTTCCGACTCGCTTTTCATTCATTCTTTCGTTTGATTACTTTTATCTATAAGAGATTCATCGAAACCTATATAGTTTATTGTATATTATTGTGAAAAAAATAGATGACGTGATGCGTGTGAAATGTTTACATAATATATCATTTTAGTAGGTACATAATATAGTATATACCATGTTATTAAATCGAAAAATACGATTGGATTATTGGTAATCGTCCGAAATAACAGGTTAGACGGGAGCGACAAGTATATGTACGTTGGACGATAACGGAAAAAATAAATATACAAATTAATAATTATACGATAGAACTATACAGAGAAATGTATACAAATGTACGAAGTATAATATTCCTCGTGTCGCTAACGTTTAATTCCCTGTTGTAGTAACCGTAACTCTGTATAATAATATGGTTCTACCAATTATCGCGGTTAAAACGTCGGATAACAGTTGTCAACAGAATTCAATTTACTTAATATTATATTATTGTAGATAGTCTTGAATGATCCACCTAAACTAATTGCGTTTATATTACACCGCATAGTTTAGCTGTCTAAAAAAGGCTTTTATGTCGTCAGCCGAAAAATACTTACTGGTGCCTACAACGTTTGTGAACAGAAAAGAGTTGTCGGATTAAATTTGTGGCGTAGTCATTGTAATGATATTACAAAGTTAAATTTTTAGCTATTGATTTCATACGCACCCGAGTGTCTCGAGCAGTCATATATTTTTTGCGTACAATGCTCAACGCGTTTCGTTTTTTATTTTTTATAATATTATGGTGCATTTTATATGAGTCGTAGTTGTTCATTTATTCGAGATGAACGCCCCGTCGTGTGTCGATCGCATAAGTGCTGCAAAACGG